TTCTGCTGATGGTGCAGTGGGCCTGGGGTCAGAGTTGGCAACTGTGCCTGGAATAAGGTCAGGATTTCTCAGGACCCTGGGAGAGTTGGGGGTGTCACTCCCTTCAAGGAATCCACTGTCACAGGGCAGAGTGGAGTTAAGTGATCTGCCTGTGAGGGAATTTCAGGCTCCCTGTGTGGTCTGCTCCCTGCGGAATGTGTGGCCACACTAGACCAGGCTTTTCCCTGGGGAAGGACTGGCTAGTGAAAGAAGAGGGTTCCCATCCTTCCTGGCCGTGGACCCCTGGGAGAATGGGGAGGGCGGGACCTACCAAGGATTGATGGGGTTTGTGACTCGAGAGCGCCAGAAAAGCGTCTGCAGGTCCTGGCGCAGGCACTCCCACAGCATCTGACCGGAGCCTTGGCCCTGGCGGCTGGAGCTCACTACAAACTTGTCCAGATATGGAGTGCCCCCCAGTACGGGCTCCGTGGTCAGAATGGCTGCAGCGTTGTACCTGGTGCAGAAGGGAGAGTCGGTCTGGGACTTCTCCTTGGCCCGAAGCTGCCCAGCTCTGTCCCTTCGTCCCTACGCACTGGGGTCCGCAGGCTCACCCCTCAGAGACGTAGACAGAGTGCAGCCGTGGGCGCAGCGAGGCCAAATAGTCGTCGCGGAGCTTCTTGCCGAAGCTGGTGTTGACTAGGTTCACCAGGCGGCCCTGGTCCAGGCTGTCCAGGCTGCGCACTCGCAGCATCCTCTCTGCGTTCTTGAACAGGGTCCCGGATCCTGGGGGGTGGGACGGAGGAGGAAGGTTTAGCCTGACAACTAAGTCCCATCCACTCCTCAGTTTGGCCGGCCTCGTGGGGGTACCAGATAGGACGGGGACTGGTGAAACAATTACCCTCTTTGGGAGATCTCCCCCAGTGAAATGCTTTCCGTGGTCTGCATAGATTTTGAATGTAATATTCACTCAAGGAGATGCATTTTCCATGCAGTTTGTCCTTCAAATTCAGCCCGCAGACTGTAGTCCCACCTACTTCTCCTAGTCCCGCCTATCTCCACGATACCGTGTCCTGCCCCGCCCCGCCCCTGGTCCCGCCCCCTTCTTTCAGCCCCCTCCTTTCCACGTGGTTCCGGACCCCAAGCCACGCCTTCTATGGATCTTCCCACACACCCCCAAGTCACGTCCCGCTGTCTGGTTTCTCGCAAGTTCCAGCCCAGTCAGGTCCACCTCCTTGCTCACCATCGCTAGGTTCGGCGAGAGCAGGAAGCCTTTGCTGTGGCGTCCGCCTACGGCCTCCTTACCAGAGAGGAGGCCGCTTCTCTTCACCCCACCCCGGTATGGCCCGTGGCCCTCACCCTTGTTGCTGAAGAGCTCAGTGAGCAGCGTGCTGGCGGTGGTGATGGCGGCCGAGGAGTGGTGGGGCAGGCGGCTGAGCAAGTCCACGATGAGCTGAATCTGCTGCCTTTCTTTGGTGCTCACCCACTCGGCGCTGGTCACCAGGTCCAGATCAGCAGGCAGGTTCACATTGCTCAGGACCTGCGTCCGGAGCCGGCCATGGACCACCCCACCCCACGGACCTCTCCTCGCTTACCCTTTTACCCTTACCTCCTCCCGGAGTCCTCGGCCAGGGAGGAGTGAGATCTTGGCACCACGGTGAACCTGTCCCTGACACTCCATTGCCCACCCACCTAGCTTAAGAGTGGCTCTGGGGCCCGTCAGGGGGGCGTTCAAGGGGTGCAAGAGAAGGGCTCAGCCAGGCCCAGAGTCGTGGAGAGTGGGACCTGAAATGAGGGGACACACCTTGCGGCTGCTATCCCGCAGGCCGCCTGTGGTATTGAGGAAGATGATTTTGGTGGGCTGCAGCTCCTTGGCCAGCGCCGCGGTCACCTCCAGTGAGTCGAGAAGCACGGAGCGGCGCGCGGTTGTCTCCCCAATGGGGCACAGGATGGGGATGCTGCCCGACTCCAGGCACCACTGTAGCAGGTCGGTCTCCACCGAGACGACGCCGCCGTAGCTGTGGGCCAGAAGTGGTGTTCCGGAGGGCCGCCTCCATTGATCTGGGGCAGGGCGGGCGCAGGCCGTGTAATCTGAGGACGCCATGGCAAGCAGGGGTGCCACTAACCTGGCATGGGGGGCTGGCTCAGTTGCGCCCAGCACCGATCCGCCCGCAAAAAAAGGAACAGCGGTGGCTGCGTTGTGCCTCAGTGCATCCACCAGCACCTTGCAGCTCTGGGCAAGTTGTGCCTTGGCCTCCCAGAAGGAAAGACAGCCTGAGGGAGCCGTGGGAGCTGGCAGCCCCAGGACCACCAGAGGCTTCATGTCCATGCGCTGCAGGAAGGCCAAGGCGAAGGCCAGGCTGGATACACTGAGCCGGCCCTTGAGCACCTCCTCATCCACCTGCGGAGGAATGGGCGTTCAGGAGGCGCAGTGCTGGCCCTGACTCCTGTTGCACAGGCTTGATCCTACAGGCTGGCCCACAGGGCCCTCTTGGTGTCCCCACCCTACCCTGGAGCTGTCAGGCCCCATTTCTTGCCACCAGCACCCACCTGCTCCGCCCTTTGCCCTGTTGGGTCTTGTCGTCCCCTTATCTCACACTAGTGTTCCTCCCTCCGCTCCTCCCCGCGACCTTGGACTCTAGGACACCTTGGGGGGAGGGATGACTCAGGTGACTCCAGTCCAGGTTCCCCACTGGCCATCTGAACCCGTAACTGCGCCCATGGTGGGAGACATTCTCCACTGCATCACACTCGGTGGGTTAGCGTCCTCAGGCTCCTACTCCGGCTGAGCGCGAGGCTTTTGGAAGAGTTCAAAGCCTCGCCCAGTCCCCGGCACCCGTCCCGGCTCTGTAGAGCTCCCGGTTCCAATCCGCAGAGTCTGAAGAGTCTGCAGTTGGTCCTGCCATGACTGGCGACATGTCGCCACACAACCCCCATCCCTCGCTGTGACATGGTCAGCGCCGGGCTCTGCTCACCTCGATGACAGCGAAGGGCTTGTCTGGCGGGGGGTGGCAGGTTTGGAATTGCGTGAGCCAGTGGCGCGCCTCCCCGGGGCTGGCCCCGCACTGGTTCAAGAAGGCCTGGATGTCCCGCTGTACCAGCGAGCGGCTGCCTGGGGCCTCAGCGGATTCGGGGGGCACCGGAGGCGCGGGGAGCGGCGTCCACGATGACTCCTCCGCTGCAGGCGAGTGGACTTCATCATCCGCGCCCACGACCGCCTCTAGTGTGGACGGCACGGGAGCCCAGGCAGTGCTGAGCCAACGGCCGGGGCTCGCGCCCCTCGCTGCTGGCTGCCGAGCGCTCCCACTCAACCTCCAGGTGCCCGCATTCCCTCGGGGGCTGAGCAGCCTCCCGCCGGCAGCTGTGGCCCGCAGGGCCCAGGCTAACCGCGCGGTCGCCATGACAACCAAACCCTCTCGGCCCCCTCCTACCCCCCCGCCCCCATACACACGAGTGACCGTCTGTCCGGAGCTCCAGGCTCTGGGGGCTCTTAACCTGCTGCGGGGTGGAGCTGAACCTGCTGGAGCGGGGCGCGGCAGGGGGGCGGAGTCGCCTCTGGGTGCGTTTGAAGAGGGTCAGACCACGGGTCAGAGGGCGGGGCCCACAGGATCCTCCGCCCCTGGTGTGTAGTGGCCGAAACCCACTAGCGAGGGTCACGTGGCTAAGATAAAGGGTGCCGAGAGTCTTTAATCTGCTGCCAAGGCCCGTTCCAGGAAGGGCTCCGTGGACCCAGGGATGGCTTTGGGGGTCTGCGGGGGGTCTTCGACGATTAAAGGGGAATCTGACTAGGGTAAGAGGAGAGAGCCAGGGCAGGGATGGCTCTACCCTGTTGTCTGAGCTCAAAGACTGGAATCATGAAGTTACCAGGATTTGTTAAACTCCAGCTACTGGGTACCACCTAGAAGAAATTTGTCATATCTTCAAATTATCCCTTATTCTTATTAAAATTTTTCTTTAAACTTTTTAAACTTAAAATGTATCCATATCAGGACTCTAACTAGAATGCCAGTATCGCTGACCATAAACCGAAAAAAATCTTAAGAATAAAGTGAGAACAAAACAATGTTATTAAATTCCAGCTGAATTGTGTTACCTGCTCTCTTGGTAACACAGATTAACAAGTGCCAGATGTTAAAGATACTCTAGCACCCTGGGAGGCTTTCTGCTGGTAGACATAATAAATAGCTGATAATAGCTGACACATGTAGAATGCCATGCACTGTGCAAAGCACTTCACAATAACTTTTAATCCCCACAATGAGTCCAAGATGTGTATTATTATTATTCTCATTTTACATATAAAGAAACTGAGGCACAGAAGTATGTGAGTGCCAAGTTCACTCAGCTCATAAGCAGTGGAGCTGGTCTTTGAAGCAAAGCATTTCTGATGTGGATCCATGTTCTGAAGCAAGATTTAAAAAGGATTTGGAAACTTTCACAAGATGTGACTCAACGTTACTTATTACTGTATCCTTTTGCTGCCTAAAGGCTCTGCAGTTGTACACATCTTACACTAGGTATGCTCTGATCAATGGAGTCTCTCCCCACCTCCATTGTTACAGAGAAGGAAACAAACTGTAGAGGGGTGATGTCTTGACCAAGGTCACACAGCTTTAGTGTCAAGGCCAGACACTAGGCATCCTAAGTTTCCACTCCAGGCTCATTCCTTCCTTATGTGTAGCTCTGTACTACCCAGGCTAGGCTCCTGGGACTCTGCCTGAATGGGGATCAATGGCTTGGGCTTCTTCTCTCCTGAATATCCCAGAGGATGCTGGGTAAGTGCACCAAGCCCTTCTGGAGTTCCCCTACCGGCACACACATACAGGTACATCCATGAACATGCCCACTCCCAGACAGAGGACTCCTGGCAGGGGGAGGGGGAGCTGATCTTTGTGACCTCCATTAACTTTTCCACTTTCCTATTTAGAAATCCTGGATTCTAACAGGGAGTGAGGCAATCGCATGGAGAGTCTATACCCCCTACCCTGTGGGGTCACCTTCAGGGCCTTTTTTCTCTTCCCACTTTACTGCTGCCAGTCCCTCCCACCCCCCAACACATACACATACACTTCCCAGAATCCACCACAGGAAGTGGTCCTAGCCCCTGAGGCACAATCGTCTTCCTCCCCTCTGCCCTCAGAGCCCCCAATCTCAGAGTTGCTTCCCCTCCAAGGCTCTGTCTGTATCTGAACCTCTCATCAGCGTCCACCTTCCTCTGCCCATCTGCACTCAGGATTCTTCCTCAGTCTTCCTCTCCCTTTGCTGTTCTGGGTCTACCCCTGCACTGGCCTCTCTTTACTCCTTCCCATCCAAATGTATGTCCCTTCCAGGTCCTTCCTCCCAGCTGTGGCTGAGTCCTGTCTCCTGCCAACTTGGGGCCCCCAGGGAGAGCAAGCAAGGATGGCCTCTCTCTTCAGACTGGGGGCTTCCTGAGGGCCAACAGCATCAGCCCCATTTCCCCTGGGTCATGGGCGGACACTGGCTGGGGAGTGGCTTCTCACTCCTTTGGGCTTCAGTCCAGAGGGCTGTGGCCCCAGGCGTCCAATGGGGCACAGGGATACCCCAAGTAGATGATTAACTGCAGGCCCAGCCAGTGACCCTGGGGCTACTTTGTCTCCATTTTCTCTCCCTGGGGAAGGCCAGCCTCTGGTCGAGGAACTGGTCCTGCTTTCTGGAGGAAATGAGTGTGGGTGTTTGGGGTCAACACCCCTACCTGACCCTACCCCAGGCCCTCTGAACTGAAGGCCTACAGTATTATTTTTGGCCTCTGGTTCTACTCTAATTTTCTTTTTTCCCCTCTGAAGCTGGGTGTTGTTTCGTTTTGCTTTTCAGAGCAAAGCCTGTTGTCCCTGTGTCCAGAATCAGGCTCCTGGCTTCTCACAATTAGAAGCAGACACACCCCTTTGAGACCATATCCATTTACCCACATATAGAGGCACATGGCCACACTCATTCACATACCAGATTGGTATTTGTCATGTGAGAGATGTTTAGTAAAATGAATGAATGAGGAGAAGACAGAAAGAAGTAAAGCCCGTGGAAAGGGAAGTCTGGCTTTGGTTTGTGGGGTCTGTGGAATCATGTTTGTGGTGTTGGACCTAGGACTGCCCAGACAGCCCCAAGGTGGTCTTTTCATCTGTGAAGAGGTGGAGCCCAATGGGTGCTGTCTCAGAGATGGACCTGGAGGGTGTGACAAATGGGAGTGTACAAAGGCCTTTCCAGTCAACAAGTTTTTCTGAGCACATACTATGTGCCAGGGGCTGAACTAGGTGATCTGAGGACGCAGTCTCATTTTTCCAGGCCGGAAGTCAGAAGGCCCGGGCTCTGCCACTTCCTAGGCTGCAAAGATTTGGGCAAGGCATTTAACTTCCGTGAGCCTCAGTTTTCTCACATGTAAAATGGGAGAAAGAGAATAAAACTTCATTTTATTGCATTGTGGTGAAGATAAAAAGTTCCCCATGGGCATGCAGTCAGCAAATCTAGACCATGGGAAACTTTATAGGACAAATGACCTGGTTTCTTCAACAATTAAGTTACAAGACATAGAGTAGGACAGGGAAGGATGAACAGATTAAAAAATATATTTTAAAGTCTCTTAATCATTTGGATTTTGATTCAAACAAACCATAAAAAATTAGATAATCAGAGACATTTGAGCACAAAGGATATTTGAGATATTTTAGGTGTCATTATGATCATGTGTTATGTTTTTAAAAGTATCCCATATCTTTTAGTCTACATACTGAATATTTATAGGTGAAATGGTAATATGCCTTGAATTTGCTTCAAAATAACTATGGAGGGGTGAAAGTGGCTGGGGGAACAGATGAAACAAGACTGGCCATGAGTTAGGAGTTGACATTTGTTGAAGCTGGACAATGGGTACAGGGGGTTCATTATAGTACCTCTCCACTTTTGCGTTTGCCTGGACATCTTCAAAATAAAAAAAAAGATTCAAAGAATTCCTGTATGCACAAGTTCCCAGTCTGACATAATGTAAATGCTCAGTAAAAGTTAGTTTGCTTCCTCCAGGCATAGTTTTCCTCCAAGGCACAAATCTGTGAAATACTGGATTCTGCAAATATATATAGTACAAGGTGGAGAAGGGAGCCCCTGATTGGTGGATTGATATATTCAGTTCTAAGTGTGCTATGAACCTCTTGTCCAGCTCTCTACTATCTGCCTCTCTCTGGCTGCTGTCCTGGGGGTTATTAAAAGGAAGAGATTATCGGCAGAGAGGTGTCCCAGACAGGAACATCTGATAGAGACCTTCTCTTTGATTAGAAGAGGGAGAGAAAGAGAGAGAGAGGGAGAAGGAGAGGGAGAGGGAGAGAGAGACAGAAGAATTTGTCACCAACCCTATGATAGAAAGGGTCTTCAGGTTACAATCTCTGGAGACTGGAGGTACTTAGGAAAGGCTACTATCCTGATAATAGCAAACTTTCTCAGGTACTGTTCCAATCACGTGATATGTATTTACTTAATTCTAACAATAATGCCATGAAATAGGCATTACCATTATTAAGGAGATCCTAGGAGGCTGGTTTTAGACAAGTGGAGGTAAGGTGCTTTCAGGGCACAGGTAGAGCTTCCTAGCAGACAACTGGAAAAGGGGCCCAGAGCTCAGGAGAGAGGTTAGGGTTGGGGAGGCCCTGGAGAGGTGATAGACAAAGCCCCTGAGTGTGGGCATGTGCTGCCAGGAGAGGGCTGCAGAAGGAGGAGCCTGAAATGGAGAGGCTGGAGGAGCCCAGAGTAGGAGGTCCATGAGGAGTCACCCAGAATCCCTGGGTGGAGATGCTTCAGGAAGTAAGGCGCAGCCTAGAGTATAGACACCTCAAAGTCTGAGAAAAGGCCTTTGGCTTCACGCCTCAGTGACGCTTCCATTTCAGTGGGGTGATGGGGAGTAGGGTGGGAAAGCCAGGTGGCAGAGGGTTGGGGAGGGTTCTGGGATGGTCACAGCATGGAACTCCTGGGGAAATTGTGGCTAGAGAAAGAAGCAGAGCCTGGTTACTCGAAGTGTTGTCCGTGGCACCACCTGGGAGCCGGTTAGAAATGCAGAATCTGGGGCCCACTCTCAGCCTACTGAATGAGAACCTGCACTTTAACGAGACCCCAGGGAATTCTATGTGGATTAAAATCCAAAAAGTTTCGTGGAGCAGAGATGTAAGCTGGTCCAGAGAGGTCGAGAAAGGTGGCACTCAATATAGGGATGTCCCTAGTGAGTATGAGGTGAAGACGCTGGGGTGGAGCTGGACTGAGGGGTGTTGCATGTGAATGTTTAGGGCTGTGCAGGGCTTGGGTGCTGTGTGGGACTCTGTTAAGGTAGTGTAGTGAGAAGTGGTACTTCCTGTCCCATGGCTATAAGCTCCCTGAGGTACCCATCTGTGTGCCGCCCAGAGGA